CTATCAAATAAAGATCAAAAAACAAGAGAAGGGGCAGTTGAATTGGGTTTTCAGTTTCACATTTTTTATATCAGAGGTCTCTGAAAAATTCTTTTATTAACTAGATTTCTGAAAATTTGATTTTTGACCGAGCTCAATGTGTAGCTAACCTCACCTAGTGAGATAAGGTTGGGTTGTTGTTGTTGTAAAGTCAAAGGAGGATAGATGAAGAAAAAGAACACCAAAATTTACATTGGTTCAGCCCACAACACAAGGGCTACTTTCAGTCCTTGACTTGTCAAGATGTTCAGTTTTTTACTAACAAACTGTTTCACTTTTTATGTATTCTTGCACAAGCCTCTTCATACTCAATAATCCAAACATTCTATTTGTTGCCTCTTCAGGCTTTTCATACACTCAAGTAGTATTACTACATCCTTTTCAGGCCTTTCTTTTTCAAGATAGAATAACAAGAAATTTTAACTCTTAGTATTGAAAAAGAGACTAGAGAAAGAATATTTACTATAAAAGTTTACAAGATAGTGAGTGCCTTGTTGTACTGGGCTCATTCTTGTTCTCGTCTTTTGCATGGATAGTTGTCTCTTTATATAGGCTCTAATGCAATTGTATATCTAGACAAAGTACACCTTTTTTGATAAGTCTTTTGATAAGCAGAGTGCTTTTATTTCAGCAAAAGTGCTTTATGAGCTCTTCCTTTCGTTAATTTTTTGAAATTGTGCTATGGTGTGTAGAAAGTCCAGTAAGGTGCTTTTGCTTTTACTAAAAATACAATTTTCAAATCTTTGAGATATAGTTTTGTTTCTTTGGTCAATTAATACTTTTGATTAGATTTACTTTGTGTAAATTGTCAGTTAGAGCTCATCACTACTTTTTGTACATACTGTTGGTTCCTCTGCACTGTCATGTAGATGTAACAATGCCTTGAAGGTTTGTTTAGTCTGAAACACTTAACAGGCTTTTCAAGTAGCAATATAAAATTCATCTAAGACTTAATATAATTTTTCATGCATCAAAATTCTATAAGACATTCTGATGAGGGGTCAACTGTCTCGGCTCTAACATCCTTCAATTTCAGCTTTGTCCTCAAGGTTGAAGCAAGAAAATTGGAAAATTGGCTATGGATAGTATACTCATCTTCCCAAGTGGCCTGATCTACAGGCTTGTCTTTCCAATTTACTAATAGTTGATTAACGTTGTCCCCTTCTTTAGTTTCAGTTCTGGCGCTTGAGACAGAAATAGGCTCAAAAAGATAAAAAAATTTCCCCTTCCATTCCTTGGCAGCTCCTTCTCTATTTTATAATCAATAACAGCTTTCTTCAGCAAAAGCACATGGAACATTTGCTGTATTTGTGAAGAGTCAGGAAGCTTGAGCTTATAAGCTACTATACCTTAGCAATCCACCAGTTGAAAGGGCCCACAATACCTTGCTGAAAGTTCAGCATTAATCCACATAGCCACAATGTTGTTTATTGGGGTGCAACTTTAGAAATACCCACGCCCCGACATCAAAACTCCATTTCCATCCTCTTTTTATCAGTTTGACTTTTCACCCTTACTTCTGCTTGCAGTAGATGATATTTCAATTGTTGAAAGGCTTCATCATGATCCATTAACTCCCTCAAAATTGCTTCACCCTCATTTCACCCAGGAGAAAACAAGCAATCACAGGAGGCTGCTGTCCATAAACTCTCAAAGGGTGTCAGTGTCACCCCTGTGATTTCATGTAAGGTAGTATTATACCAATATTCGGCCCAATGTAACCATGTAACATTGAATTCAAGTTCTAGGTTGATCAAAACACTGCAAGAAAATTTCAAGACATCTATTCACTATCTCGATTTTCCTGTCAGTCTCAGGGTGATTAGGAGAGCTCATCTTAAGTTGGGTACCTTGCAGTTTAAACAGTTCCTTTCAAAAGTTGCCTATAGAAAATTAGAAATTGGATCTCTATCACTAGCTTTAAGTATGCCATGCATCTACACAGCTTTCAAAAAAGTTTTAACTTTTAAGCCACCACTTGAGCTTTATATGGGTATTTCAAAGGAATGAAGTGGCCATACTTAAAGAGCCTATCCACCACCACAAACATGGTACCATAACCTTTAGCTTTAGGCAAATCAATGATAAAATCCATTGACACCGCTTCCCAAATCATTTCCAGAATGCTCAAGCACACACATCACATTCTTCTGGATCACCCTACACCTATCCAATACGAATTGGCTGCAATCCTCCAGTATGTTCTATAGAAACCAGAATATACTTGGGGAGTGGCATGAAATTCCTGCAGCAAATGATGGATTAAAGATGATTAAGCAGTGAGTACCAATCATCCTTCATAAAAGAGAACACCACTTAAGTAGGAAAAACCATGTCTAGAGCTTGCATCCTTCTGTAGATCTTCAATAATTCACTGGAAAACCCTATCGTGGTGAACTTCTTCCACTACCTTGTTCCTATCCACCCAAGTTGGTTAAGAGATTATAGAACCAAACTAGCCTTCTACAACCACCCAAGACAGAGCATCAGCCCCTCTATTATCAAAACTAGGTTTGCACAAAATGTCAAATTGGTAGCCAACGAACTTAGCTGTGCAATTCTGTTGGTCCATGGTGAAAATTCGCAGCTGCAATAGCTACTTTAAACTCTACTGGTTTGTACACACTGTAAAAGGCCTTCCTAACAGATATGGTTTCCAATGTTAAATAGATAAAGTGATGGCCATCAATTCCTTCTCATATTCAGATTTAGCAAGTTGTCAATCACTCAGTGCGTTGCTGATGAGAAATTGGGTAATGCAAGGACAGTTGAAGATGTCAACTTCTATTTCATAAGCTCAAAAGTTGCTTTTGCCAGTGAATTCCACTTGAACTGCTCCTTCTTGGTCAACTTAGTTAATGGCCTTGCCACTTTCTCATAATCTTAGATGAACTTCCTAGAATAACTTGTTGAGCCTAGGAACCATTGCGCCCCTTTCACACGTTTTTGAACTGGCCACTATAAGACACTTTTTACTTTATTGGGATCCATAGCCACACCATTCTTGACGATAATGCGCCTTAGGTACTGATGTGAATTAATGCGATCTTTTATTGAGTTAGCTCAATTATGTCAAGAAACATTGTAAAAGGGTTCATAAACTGTGAGTTAATGACCATGAGATAATTTGAAAGAAAATTAAGATTTCAAATACAAACAAACAAGAAAACAAAAGATGGAAAAGAGAAGAAAAGAAGAAAGCGTTACAAACTCAGTTTAATGGAGAATAAAAAATGATAAGCTCATTGTAGAATCGCCATAATAATGTGAGGAACCCTTGATACAATCCAATATTTCTAAGTTTAATAATTATATATTTTATTATAAATGTATTGAGTAATAAATAAATGTAAATAACCTATAGTATGTATAAAAGAAGTTAACCTATTCAATTCTATAAATTTTATAAACAAAAATGTGTTTTACTTAAGTTTTGCTTTCAACAGTGGTTAACATAAATCCTATACTTTTGTCTCATACATATTTGTGGTTAATATAACATTACTAATTTGATATATACCATTCATGTGCATCTTTAATATTGTCACTTTTCTTCACTGTCATAGATTGGTGTATTTCACAAAATTTAGTAAGCAACACTAAGTTAGTGACATTAGTTTTGAAATTAAAGATGGTAAAAGGATAAAAGAAAATTAATAACCTATAGGCAAATATTGTTTGATATTAGTAATATTGTATTTGGTTAATTAACTCCAAAAATAGACAATTATTTCAAAGATTTGGTTAATTTTGCGTTACCATAATTATAAGAGAGGTTTGTAACCTTTTTTATGTCTTATAATTCATCTTTAACGTTGTCATATTCTTCGAAGATCATAAATATTTTACTTATAAAAAAGAATTGGTAAGCATTGCTCTCAAGTTATAAGGTTTAGTTTTCAAAGGTAGTTAAACTATATTGTAGGGTTAATAAATTGTACTTTCTAAAATGGGAATAAAATCAACAATTTAATAACTAACGAACTATCAAGCAATGAACAATAAAAGGAAGAAGGAGGTTTGCTTGAAAATGGAGGGCATGAGTTAAAGAAATAAGATGTACCATGGAATCCAAGGCTTCAACCAACAACAAAAGATGTCAATAGTCTTGGGTGAAAGGAAGAAAGGAGAAGAAGTAGCTTCATTTTTTTATAAAGTTAGTAAAGATAAGTTTCAATTAAGGAAGGACAATATTTGTAGAGACAAGAGCCTCTGTCTTTCAGTAAAGTGAAGAAAAATCTTTAGTGAGAGAAGTGAATATTTTTAGTCAATAAAGGAAAGGCACACAAGTTTGGGTAGGAAAAAATAAAAGATTTTTTTTTTGTTTTGTAATTTTTTTTTGTTTAATTTAGTGAACAAAAATTTATTTATTCACTTTTATAAGAAATTGGAGAACTCTTTAGATCCATTTTTGTTCAAGTGAGATGCAGCTCACTCAGACGAGATGTCTCTCGCTTAAGCAAGAATAACATAAATTTGAGTAGTTCCACTATCTGGTATTCTCGTCCAGGCGAAAGTTAGCTTGTCCAGGCGAAAGAAGAGCTCACTCAAGCGAGAGCACGTGATAAGTGTCATATTTTAGTAGTTGTCAATGTATACTTTGAAACTTATTTGCTTTCTTTTAACATTGTTTGCACTTAAATTCTATGTAATTTTTATTTTAATGCATTTAAGTCATGTCATTTAAATTTAGCAAATTTACCCTTAATTTTGTTAAACAATAGAAGATATTTGATCTACTTTTCTTGTGTGAATTTTCTTAAGGGCAAAGGCTTGATGAGGTGTTCATATTTATAGCTTTATATTGTCTTCAAATCATCCTTCATATGCCTTGTTTTGAGAGTTTTTATCATTTCTTATTGATAGAAATGATTTGGGCTTGTTTTGCATGAATGTTGTAGTTTTGTATTTTGAAATTTTCTGACCTCTATCAACTCTTTTGACCATATTTTTTTCTACAGATATTATTTTTGGCTAATTTCAGTTGCATTGGATTCTCCACATCTGCGGCTTCAAAATGCTATATCGTTTGCTGGATTTGGAGTTGTTTTCTATTTTTTATGATTTTTTTGAAGATGAGTCAGATTTGCTAGAGTTGCCCAGAATTCAAGTCTTGCTCAAGCGAGAATTATCTCGCTTAAGTGAAAAATGCAGAATTCAGAACAAATTTTTTGCTGGTTTTCTCGCTTGAGTGAGATTTTGAGCGAGAAATTGTGCAGTAGACCTTGCTCTCAGGTTAGGTTTCGCTTGAGCAAAAATTGACTCGCTCGAGCGATAATTCACTTATTGCCCTACAAAAACAGAAGATTCAGCTCGGAAATGGATAGCCAGAGCGGGCTTTGAAGCCCTAGCACATCATTGACCCAATTTTGGAATGCAGAACAAGAGAAGCGTGGGGAAGCAGCCATATAATTGTAGAACTAATTTCTATCTCTTTTTCATGTATTTTTTTGTTGTTTTGTATGTCATGAACAGCTAGAACTCTAGGGTTTGGATGTAATCTTCATACTTTGAATATTTTGGTATTTTCAATATAGATTTGTTCATTTGCAATGAGTTGAGTGTGTTTATTTTGATATTAATGTTTGTTTCTACCCTATGGGGATTAATTCATGATTTGGGAATCTGAGGTGAGTTAGAAAACTACCTTGGAACCTAGTTGGGATAAATACACGCAATAGGTTGGGACTATAGGGATATATTTTAATCTATTGTATGCTATATAACTCTTGATATTAGTGCTGAATTATTTGTTGTGTAGGTAAGAAATTATTATTCAATAAATATATTTTAGAATCTCGAGTGAGAGGAATTCATCGAGTGAATATAATGAGAGTGTATCATAGAACTTTGGTATTTGTTCAATGTGTGTTAAAACCAAAATATAAAGAGGATGATAGATGAAGTTGAATCCCCAATTTTATCATAGTAGTTTAATTTGTTTTTATTTGCATTTATTTTCTATGAACCAAATTATCAAAAACTCAAAATATCACTTAGTTGTATATTTGTGATATTTAGGTGTTTGTAATTTTAATTTGGATAACTGAAATTACTAGAGTATCAACATTCCCTGTGGACACGATAACCTTTTATACTACATCAAAAACTTGGTACACTTGCCAAATCCCCTAACAGCACACGAACTTGAAAGGGTATTTAAGGGACTCGAGTGCAGATAAACATTCATTTTTACTAGAAAGCCTTCCCCTCTCACTTTTTTTCTATTCTCTCACCTTCTCCCCTTAGAGAAAACCTTCTCGAAGTCGAATTTCTTCTCAACCCAAGTAGGAACACCTTGAGTGCAGGTATAGGTGAGTTCTTGGGACTTGGTTCTCTAACTCTTCTCGTTACTTCTTAAGTTTCTCTTCTCAAGGGTTTCTATTTTGTAATAGTGAGGAGATCTGAGCTCTTGAACGTTGTTTCTCTCTTTGGAACTCATGAAGATTTCGATTTAAGAAAACTCATTCCAAGTAAGGGTAGCTTTCCTTAGAAGATCTTTATTTTCCTTTGATTGCTAGAATATTATATCTGAATCTTATTCTACCTGAAAGTGGGTTGATGTATGAACAAACCTACTGATGTAAATACATATATAAATTTTTGGGTTGTATGAAATACCCTTGGGGCTTTGTTATTCTGTTGAGTTGTTGAATTTAATTTATGAAAATTATATCTTTTGTACTAATATATATATATATATATATATATATTATCTCATAAATAAATCCATATAGGGAATAATAATGTATGATATTATTGATCCTTTATAAAAAAGGGGTCGTAACAATTGTAGACTTGATGAATGTTATCAACTATGTATGAGAAGCTATTTGTAACTAATAAAGCTTATTTGATGTGTTGGTTATTCAACCTTAAGATAGGAGAAAGTAATTATATGACTAATCACATTAATGAATTTAATACAATTGTTGCCCAAATAGTGTTAGTGCAAATTGTGTTTGATGATGAGGTGAAAGCGTTGATTTTATTATTATCCCTTCCAGATTATTGGGCTACAACTGGTACTGTAGTTAATAGTTATGCAAGGAATAACAAGTTAAAACTAGATGACATATATAGCTTGATCTTAAGCGAAGATATTCGCAGAAAAGATTTAGGGAAACCTTTCAGTCTTACTTCCCGCTCAATGTTGAATACTGAAAGTAGAGGAAGGAGTATCTAGAATGGTCAAAATCAAGGTCAAGACAGATCAAAGTCTAGATGGAAAGAGTAAACAAAAGTTTGAAATAGTATTATTTCTTCAAATTATGATAAAAAAGGTCATTTTAGCAATCAATGCAAAGCTCTAAAGAAGAAGAGCAATAAAAATAAGAAGTATAATGATGATAAATCCTCAAATGTATTACTTTATAGCTTGGATATTACTATTGACTCATGGGTTATAGACTTGGATGCGTCATTCCACACTACTCCTTCTATAGAACTATTATCTATCTAACTATGTTCCTAGAAAGTTTGGGAAGACTTACCTTGCAGATGAAAAATCTCATAATATTATAGGAAGAGGTGATATTGACATCAAAACCTCTATTAGGACCTTGTGAGCATAGCACAATGTCCGACATATTTATGTCTTAAAGAAAAATTTAATATGTATAGAGCAGTTGGATTATGAGGGGCATTTTACCACTTTTGAAGATGGATCTAAGAGGTAACAAGAGGCAATTTGGTTGTTGCTTGTGGAAAGATGCGAGGGTTTATTTACATAGTTGCAAATAAGGATATGGTAGCAATTAGTGAGGCTGTCAACAGTTCTTCTTTATGACATCAAAGACTTGGGCACATGAGTGATTAAAGGCTCTTTTGACTTGCCTAAAGTGTTTTGGACAGATGCAATAAATACAACAACTTATCTTATAAATAGAGGACCGTTAATTCCTTTTGATTATCAATTACTTGAAGAAGTATGGTCTGGAAAGGAGGTAAATCTTTCACCTCAAGAGTTTTTAGTTGTCTCATGTTCTGATAAATTGTGACAATAAAGATAAACTAGACTCTAAGGCAAGAAAGTGTTATTTTATTGAAAATCATTAGAAGTAGAAATGTCACTTTTAATGATTACATGTTCTATAAAGACAGATCTGCATAATTTATATGTGTAGCTAAACTGCTAGAACTTTTTGAGAAAGTAGTGTTGGAAGAAATTTCAAAAAGTAATGTAACCAACAAAAGGCAAGATACAGAGGTGGAGCCAAAGTTAGAACCAAAACTAACATAGTGCCAGAAACTCCCATGACCCAATTGAGGAGATCTAATGAAATACTAGTAGCACCACAAAGGTATTCTCCTTCATTGCATTATTTTTTATTAATTGATGCTGGTGAACCAGAATACTTTGTTAAGGCCATGCAGGAGAATAACTTTATTAAGTAAAAGGTAGCAATGAAAGATGAGATGGTATCCCTTCACAGAATGGAACATAGTCATTAATCAAGTTATTAGAAGGAAAGAAAGTCTTGTAAAACAAGTGGGTCTATTGGTTGAAAAAAGAACTTGACGCTAGCAAAAGATACAAGACGAGACTTATAGTGAAAGGGTTTTAATAGAAATAGGGAATTGACTTCATAGAGATTTTCTTTCTTGTTGTTAAGAAGACTACTATTAAAGTTATCTTGAGTATTGTACTTGCAAAGAATCTTAACTTAGAGTAGTTAGATGTTAAAACTACATTCCTACATGAGGACCTAGAAGAAGACATTTATATGGCATAACTAAAAGGTTTTGAAGTTCTAAGCAAAGAGAATTTTGTATGCAAGTCTCACAAAATCTTGTATGGCTTGAAAAAGCATCAAGATAGTGGTAGAAGAAATTTAATGAGTTTATGAACAACTATAGATTTCACAAATGTGATACAAATCATTGTTGTTATGTTAAGAAGTATTTTAATATTTATGTTATTCTTTCTTTATAAGTTGATGACATATTGATTCCAAGGTCAAATATGACAGAAATTAACAAGCTCAAGTAGTAGTTGACAGAAAGCTTTGAGATAAAGGATCTTGGTCCAACTAAACAAATTCTCGATATGAGAATCTTTATAAATTGATCAGAAAGTATTTTGAAGTTGTCTCAGGAGAAATATATAGAAAAATTACTTGACAGGTTTAATGTTGAAAATGCTAAGACCAGAAATACCTCTTTAAGAACTCACTTAAGATTTTCAAAAAAATAATCTTCAAGAACTCATTGAAAGTTTTCCGAAGTTATATGTTAAGAGTATCATATGCGTCAACAATAAGGAGCTTGATATATGTTATGATGTGTACAAGACTTGACATAGCACATGTAGTGCGAGTTGTTAATAGGTTCCTATCAAATCCTGAAAAGGAGCATTGGAAAAGTGTGAAGTGGATAATGAGATATTTGAAGGACACTTCAAGAATGTGTCTGTGCTTTGGAAAAAGCAATCTCACTTTACAGGGATTCTCTGATTTAAATGGTAAAAAAAACATCACAGTTTACAATTTTACCTTAGGTGATAATGCTGTGAGTTGGAAGTCTAAACTTCAAAGTAGAGTTACTCTCTTAACCATTAAAGCCAAATATGTGGCTATCTCAGAAACAACTAAAGAGATATTATGGCTAAAGAATATTTTTGAAGAATTGGAAAAAGAAGAAAATGATTTTTCATTATTCAATGATAGTCAGAGTTCTATATGTCTTGCTAAAAATCCAATCTTTCATTCCAAATACAAGGATATTAATATGAAATACCATTTTATCAGAGACCTAATAAATGGTGGAGATTTGTCTTTGTTGAAGATCTCAGGATCAGATAACTTAACTAATATGTTGATCAAAATTGTCACAAACAATAAGTTGAGGCTTTACATTGCCTTAACCAACTTTCGAGAATAATTGATGATGAAGGCGTGCACTAGATGAAAAGCAAATAAGCTCATTATTTACAAGGAACTACTATGAATCAAACTCAAAGTGAGAGAATTGTTAGAATTCTGTAGTCAAATTAAGTCTCATGCCGCTTATTCTTATTTTGTTACACATCACTTATTCTTAAGAGACTCTTGTTTTATTATTACTATATAAGTAACACCTTGTAATGAATTTCAATACATTCAATGAATAAAATATTTTTCTACTGTAGTAATAGACGTTGGTACATAGACTGTGTGCTGAACCACATTAAATTCTTGTGTCGTTCTCTCTCCCTCTTTCTTTATTCTCTTACTTTTATTTGCTTCTAACATTTTATGGGCACCTAACTCTAGAGTCAGAGTTGCTTGTGTGGGGGTAGTAATTCTTTGTTTAAATTACTTTTAAATTTTTCTTTTCTTGCATTATTAGTAAATAAAGTCAAATAAGTTATTTGAAATTGTGGAGTAGCTATGAGAAAATAACATTAAAAATTATAACTAACGTAAAAAGCAAAATCAAATGGGCTATTCACAAACTTCTTTCATGTGTCCTCATCAATGAATTGATATTCTTGATAAGGAGACACATTTTTAAGACTTCCAAAAATATACTTGTAAGTCAAGGGTGTTTTAAAAGTCCTCCAATGTTCT